TTCCGGGACAAATGGTGGTGCACAAATGAGACGGGGAGAGTGTTACAGAATCATAACCAACACCACCAATAGCCCCAAGTTTATATAAGTCATCCAAAGCACGTCAAAAGAGTGTTTGGAGTTATTTCACTGGAGGTAATGTGAATGAGGGAATGGGGCGTCTAATTAGCAAGTTCTTTATCTATGAACATGTCCCTGCTGAGAAGGCATCATCACATCATTTCAAAACTATGGTATTGGGATGTTAACAGGTCGGTGTTGGAGTACAACCTCCCACTCCCTATGAGGTAAGAAACAAATATTTGGATATGGAGTATAAAGACATTGACGAGTATGTTAACAAGTTGAGGTCAAAGTGGGAAACTAATGGTTGCACAATCATGTGTGACGGATGGACTGGCCCGACCAAGTTGTCTATCATAAACTTCATGGTATACTCCAAGGGAAAGACAATTTTTTTGAAGTCTGTTGATGTTTCATAACCATATAAAGAACTACAAGTATATTTACAAATTATTGAGGGATGTAATCATGGAGGTGGGAGAGCATAATGTTGTTCAAGTCGTGACCGACAACGGTTCTGCATTTGTCAAAGCTGGAAAAAAGTTAATGAAGCATCATAATGTGTTTTGGACATCATGTGCAGCACATTATATTGATCTCATGTTTAAGGCAATGGGGAAAAGAGAGAATGTTGCTACTGTGGTAAAAAGAGCTAGAACAATCACAAATTATATTTACAATCACGGTTGGTTGTTGGCAAAGATGCGTGAATTTTGCAAAGGAGAAATTATTCGTCCAGCTACCACTCGATTCGCCACCAACTATATTGCATTAGACAGCCTACTTAAGAAGAAAGCAGGGTTGAATCAATTATTCACTAGTGACGATTGGGCCAACCACAATTTTAGCCGCTCAAATGCAGGTCGTATAGTGGAAAGTATAGTGCTTGATCATGCTTTTTGGACTCAATCAGAACATGTGTGCCAAGTGTTTGAACCTCTTTATAAAGTTTTACGGATCGTTGACACAGAAGTGTATTCTACTATGGGGGCAATCTATGAGTTGATGCGTGTAGTGAAGGATGACTTGGAAAGAAAACATGGTGCAAGGTGGGTCATAAGGATAATTGATGACCGATGATATAAAACATTATACCACGATTTGCATGCAGCAGGTATAAATTATGTCATAATTTGCAATTTATTTCTTAGTTGCATAAGTATTATTTCTCTTATTAGAGTATGTGTTTCTTTGAACAGCATATTATTTGAATCCTCGATACCAATACAGACCCGGTGGTGGAGATGATGGTACCTTATACGTGCTGTACATAATATATACTCTAAATTAGACCCTGCATCACCAGCAGTTGGCCAATTTGGAAATGAGGTACACAATTACTTAAATTATAATAATTACATTGTTGGATTAAGCTAACACGATTTATTGAATTCAGCTAACATGGTTTAAAGATGCAAGAAGAACTTTTGGAGAACCAACATGAGTTGCTGCTCGAACAAAAATGTCTCCTAGTGAGTGTAAACATATTTCACTATTATAATAGAATTTGTTGGAGTTATTAGGCTTATAAACATTGTTTTCATTATAGCTGAATGGTGGATCATGTATGGGACTGATGCACCAACTGTGAGAAAGTTAGCAATCAAAGTATTATCACAAACAGCTTCCTCATCTGCTTGTGAAAGAAATTGGAGTACATTTGCACTCATACACACAACACAAAGAAATAGGTTGGCTCATAGTCGGTTGGAAAAATTAGTTTATTGCTACTACAACATGAAGCTTCAAATTCGAGATAAGGAAGCAGAAATAGATCATGTCGACCGTGGTGACCCACTAGATGTGTTTGATATTGTTGCTGAAGATGATGATACAGAGGGTAACCAACTTTATCAATGGATTAGACCTCTTCATTTAGATGATGATAAAGGCAACTCAACTCCTAGAGTTGCTGAAGAAGCACGTAATGAAGGGATAAATGTAGAAAGAGTATTAGAGGAGGAGGTGGGATCTAGCAGCACTGACTCTTTCGAAGAACTTTTGCGCCCAAGACCAAGAAACACTGGTATTCCACCTTCTTCCAATCCTACACAACCACAAGATCATGCTGATACTAATGATAGCTATACTACAAGATCAGGAGACTCACCTACCATTGGAGGTGGAGCTGGAGGTAGTAGTGAAGGATATAGTGGAGCTGGAGGTAGTGGTGGATATGGAAACTATGTTGGACAACCTCCCGGATTTATGAGCCCTTTCACTAGTGAGGCAAACTTCATGCATGCAACACAAGATGAGGACCATGGCAGTAGGCGGGCAGGACCAGAAATTGGTGCCATAGGGAATGATTATACTCATAGAGAAAGAGGCAAGAGAATTTTGTCAAGTCAAGAAGATGACTTGTTATCTATAACTTCGGACTCTGTTGGAGTGGGAAGTAGTAACTACGGTTATACTCATAACCAACCATTTCCCTACCATTCATATCCCATTCCTGTTGGGATAGGATCGAGCGACTCATGGAAAGAATCTGAGACTCAATCTTCAAATGATTTTGCTTATGGACAATGTCAACCAATCTCGGATCCATATGGGTGGCATGTTAACAATTACATGCAAAACTATTTTGGGGATTTATCATTTGATAACTACTCTTCACAATACACTTACTCTACACATAGAGATGATGAAGATAGTGAAAAATTTGAACCTCATAGGAACTCTATGTGGTATTAAGTCACTCATGTATCTTACCATGCAATGTATAAAGTGTAAAATATTGTACTAATTCATTATATATAAATGATTATGGTGTGTTTAAACTTCTTTCATTAATTACTATATATTTTCTACACTCACAATGTTTACCAGCTCGCTATATAATCAACTTAAATAAGTTAAATCCATCATGCAATGCATTTCCTTCCAATTTTTTGTGATAAACTAATAGATAATTAACTACATAAACATCCTGCAAAGTTTCAATAAAAATTTCCAAGTTTTTCTTACAATTTCCGTGGTTTCCATATTATTTTTATTAATATCGATAATATTCCGATATTTCTATCGATATTTCTGTGTTTTTGGACTACCAATATTTCCGATATCATCGATATTTTATACCTTGATCATACATGAATGGTCCCATTTGATTAATTCGTATTGGAAAACTATACTATTATGTGTGCCTATGGTCCCGCCCAGGGGTGGGCAAACAAGGCTTAAATTCGCGGGTCGGGGCATGTCTAAGCGATTCGGGGTGGGTACAGGGCAGGGCGGGTCCAAATTGGAAAGGAAACGAGCCTCTGGTACAGACCGTATCCACTGTCCAATATGTGGAGATTTAATCTCCACCGTTGATAAAATCTCCCCAATCTACATCTCAGTCACTCTTTTAGAGCAAGTCCACTGGAGGACTTTTTGCCCAGCACCCAGCCGAAAAAATAGGCCAGGACCCAGTGAATTTGCTCCAACCAACCCAATTGACTGGCACCCAGCCCATGCCAGTCCACAGGACGGCCTAAAATCGACAGACCTTGGGACCGGCCTATCTGATGCCATGGTGACGCCAGCATGGCGTTCAAAGGAAGTTTGAACTGGAGGCCGTCTCTCGTCGACCTCGTGAACGCCACCGGCCGCTTCGTCTTCCTGTACTCCATTCACAGCAGCGAGTCCGTGTGCTCTTGCGCCATCCAGATCTTGTCCGGGTCCCGCTTCAAAAACCCAACGGCCACAAACACCTTGTTAAGGTGGCCAGGTTGAGCTCCGCGATCGTGCCGTGAAGGTTGAAGCCCTGGGTGTCGAGGTCTTGGTCGGAGGTTGAGTATTGATTGGTACCGACATGGTGAGGGAAAGGAAGAAAGAAGAAAGAAGAAAAAATAAATGATAAAGAAAGGACCGGAAAGGGAAAGGAAGAAAGAAGAAAAAATAAAAAATAAATTAAATGATAAAATATTAATTGATATGAATAAAATAATATAATATTAGATAGGCTGGGTGCCACGTATTTTTAGGGGTGGAGATGCTTTGGCCTATTACTTTTTACTGGGGTCTATTACTGTTGATTTGAGTGAATAAATGCGTTAGGTGCTGGCACAAAATCTTCGGGTGGACTTGCTCTTAGGTTGCAGCTGTCCCTTTCTCAGTTTCTCGATCCTTCTCCTCCCTCTCAACTCTCAGAACTCTCGACTCTCTTTCCTATCAATCTCACTCCCAGACTTACACTCTGTCCCCGTCTCGTCAATCGAGATCTCTCCACCCACCACCTGACTGCCATCTCCATCGCGACGTCCCTCCCACCCACCACCTGTCTAGTCTGCTATGTCTCTCTCTCAAGCTCGAAGGGTTGAAGAAGTCAAACTTGAAGCACCCCACCCACGCATCATCTGATTATCTCCTCCGTTTCACTCAAACCCACATTTGCAGCACAACAAGATCCGTTGTCTGTCCTCGATAGTTAACACCTTTTATCTGGGTTTGCGAATCAGAGAGTCTCTGTTGAAGTTGTTGAATGCGTTTCTCAATGAAAGACACTGCATTTGCTTGTCCCCATTCCATATTCATCTTTCCGGTGCAAGGCTTCAGCTGTCTTCTCTGGGCATCCTTGAATAAATTATCCACTTTACTACCATCCAATGATGCAAAGTCTACTTGAGGCCAAAATGAACAAATCACAGCCATTGCAGAAGCCAGCTGTGCTTTCAATTTTGCATTCTCAACTGTTCCTGCAATCTCTACCAACTCACAGCCTTCAAGTAGCTCCTCAGAGTCGCAATTCTCAAACAAACCCAATGCACTCTCGTCAGCATCAACCGAATGACAAGTTTCATTAGACGTAGAATATGAACCTCTAAACGCACTCTTGGAAGACAGACAATGACAGTATTTACATCTTTTTGCTGCATCAACTATAATTGGTTAATTTATATAAAAATAATAGGCAACTAATTTAGACCATAATACTAAGAGAGCTTTAATAGTCTATATTAAATGTAAATACTTGATTTTTAACTCGCAAAATAAGAACTAAATTGCTTCACATTTCTGCTATCTCTTATATTAAATGTGAATTTAAACAATCTCAAGGAAAGTAAATACTCTCCAATACTATACATCTACCTGCACAACAATTTAAGTCCACCATAAGAACAAGCAAAAACTAAAACCCAAATTTCGGTGCCACTTCAGCATCAACTTCCTACCTCATTGCGACTTCTTGACATTACCAAACGTCATCCTCTCTCCAGAAATGCTCCTCAATAGCTGTTTAGAACACATGTTCTCAGCTGTTGTCGCGTTTTTCACACGGTTGGCTTTTACCCAAGCAGGTTCCTGCAAGAAAAACCAGTTTAATGTTTATTTGGTGATTTGATCTTCCTTTTAACCATTAGAAAATATGTAACTGTGTTCAGAAGGGTGAGAAGGAAATCACCTCGGGAACAAAGCGGGAGAATCCAAATTTGATCAACAAGAGAACATGTTCCATAACCAGAATTGCAGCCAGGCCAGGCTCTATCTTCCATTTGCCCTCTTCATCATATAACCATACTAGAAGTGCGCAGTTGGTGCATATAGACATAACTACAAGAAACTACAAATTGCAGACAACCCCACATTACAAAGATGACGATGAAAGAGCAAAACAAACAGTAGGAACACAAAGTTCAGCGATACGAACTTTGTATTTGCTTCACAAACCATAAACCATAAGTACCTGAAATATGTTAAGCCAAGCTCCAATTGTTGTGGAAAAGCGAGGAGTTGGTCTGCGCAACATGGCAAGAAGCTTCAATGCATCCGCCCTAATTTCAGTGATGTTGTTCTGCAAAAGTGTAATTTTAAGCAAAATACCATCAACATAAAAAACTTAAAAGGGAACAAGCTGCCATAAAGCATAACATACCAAAATTGCAAAGGCAAAAGCAAGGGGGAATGCACAAGCAAACATCATGATCATTCCAAACTGCAATGCCACCTCAAGAAAGTCTGCAGGTCAAACACAGATCTAATCAGCTGAAAATATAGAAATATACTGAAAATTGCTTACAAATAATGAGGAAAATTCAAATTTAAAGACGCCAAAAAGAATATATAATTGAATATACTTGACATATTAGTATATTACCATCAAACAGCCCATCTTCAAGTTCCATGCCAATGCTAGCGGAATATGAAGGCTTCAGGTACTCTTTCTCTACCCTAGAAGCAAACCGAATCTTCCCTGTCGTTGAACCTTTTTCACACTTTTTCTTGCTTCTTTACCCCAGAATGGCAGACAAGGTTATGTTCAAGTAAACTTAAAATACTCCAAAAACATGAAGGTCCAAAAGATAATACATAGTACAGACTTACTGAACTCTATATTTCTTATAACTGTACTTTAAATATGGCAACGTGTTTTCCAACAAGTTTTCCAACACCTACAAAGCATTGTCCAATACAAGAACATAAGAAATAAACTAGAGAGAAAAACAGTGAATGAAATATAACATCTACCTGAGACACAAGGAGGCGTTGAATCAAGACTTTGCGGAGAGTAGAAAAGTTGCGGTGCAAAAGGGCATGATAGAACACTCCTATATATGACTGCATGAAATAAAGACCAAACACCTGCAAAAAACAAAAAGTCCTTGGAAGTGTAAAAAAGCCCTACACGAGATGGCAACAAAGCCAGCAGGTATGGAATAAGTTTCCACTTAACCCACCTTATAGACCAAGCTGTCAGCTCTTTTTTCTTTGTTTTCATTATTTTCATATTGAATGAGCTTGACGGAGATCTTGCCTCCAATCTGTGTAAAGAACTGAATTGAAAAAAGATAAACGGTCGTCAACCCAAACCTGAAAAGAAAAAAATTGCGATATGTGTCATCTTCATTCTGTAATAATAACTGGTAAGTATATGCATTTGTATGAATGCAAGAGGACTCGGCATCTTACTTCATAATATCAGACTCAATAACCTCATAAATATGAGCATATGCCAATTCAAATGGTAACTGAAGGCATATAATACTGAAGAAAATGATAGCATCATTTCGGAATCTCATGAGTCGTCCAAACCACTCAATTCTTTGGAACATTTCTTTTTCTTTTGTTTTGTCTGTCCCCCACTTTTTTGCAAGCTCAACAGATGGTGAGGAACTCCATTCCACACCCTGTCTATATCCCAGGTCAGCTCTAACTGGATAACTAATCTGCCATCTAAACACGCAACCCAGAAAGAGAAGAGTTAAAGTAAGACAAAAGAACAAAAAAAAAAAAAAATTAAAAATGAATAAGCATAGATCTAATAGCTACAATACAATTTTCTTGTAAACCAAATTACCTGGCTAAAAGGGCATTATTTTTGCGTTTCCAAAACTGTGAAAACATTATAGCCCACAATATTATGCTTATGAAGAAAATAGGGAGCACCAGTAACTGCAATGACCTACAGAAGCATTATGCAAACACACAGCGGTTTAAATAAGCAAAAATGCACAAATATAATAATGTTGACAGCCATCAGGGAAACTAAGAAATAGTGTTCTGACCCACCCAAAATCAAACATGTGCATGATAAGCCCAAATGCAGCTGGAAAGAGCAACCACCTTGTATACATTCCAAGGAAAGCAAAATAGATGGCGATCTACAAAAGACGTTAAATTCTTGTTTAATGTGTTGGGCAAAATATGGAAAAAGATAATTTTGCTAATGCAACTAGTTTACCTTTGTACCAAAGTATGAATAAATCTCATCTATCGGCTGGTTTGTGAAGTCCCACCAGTGTAGTGCCCATGAGTGAAGGAGCTTCTTCCTTATTATTTCATCTATCAGTAAAATATCATATTAATATAGAGTTCAACAGAGATACAAACTGTTTAAAATTTTGTAAGCATACCATGCAAAGGAAACACTTCTTTGACAATCCTTTCTGATTCCAACTTCTGAAGTAAATACTCCCCGACTTCCCAACGGAACTCTTTATCATCAAATCTTAAAGTTACAGTTGACCGGCTCTTGTTAATCTGTAAATTTACAAATCAAACCTTGTCAACGGCACACATTTATGGATAAATATTTGCACACAGAAATATAGTCATATTGAACTTATTCAAAGGGTTTCAGTTGCATTACATCTACTCATACAACATTTTGAAAAAAAAGCGAAACATCAGCCGCCAATTGATGGATGTAATCAACCAAAGAGTAATAACAAAAAAGGATGGGGACAAACATGAAGCTGAAATGTAAAATCAAAGTGAAAGAGTGAAACACAACATGGGAAAGGAAGAAGCCATTGGAACATTATAGTATGAGTATATGCCGAATGACTCACAATTCCATATATTAAGTGCCTATAGCAGCGAAAACGCTCACACCAACTGAACACTGAACCATCAGGCTGTCTCACAAAAGCATCAACCTCCTCCCATTCAAATTGTAAATCCATCCCTGAAACCCAGTGTCATATTAACTTTTCAAGTAGAAGAAATCAAATCACATTACAGATATGGAACTTAAATAAAGAAACTTTGAAAACCAACTTGAATACAACTGTATCATTACCGATAGCAGTTCGTTTTTTAATCTGCAATTCCGCTGCAGCCCGGCCCAGCGTCTCCAAAGGTGCTGCCAGCTGAAAGAAAGAAAGCTAAGCTCTAGAAACTAGAAAGCAAAAGAAAGACTATAAATAAAATACTGCCCAATTGTATATACCAGCGTCTCCATGAATAATGTTGCGGTATCGTAAATTTGCAAACAAAATGTTAGCATAAGGACCCTTTTCAGCGTCAGATTAGCAAAACGCCCTGAAATTTACACCTTTTTTAAATAGATATGATTCTTTCAGTAATACAGTAACAAATTATATAACTTTCCTTCCTTACTAAGCAATATTTATACCTACAAATGTCGTATCATAAACTATTTACAAAATCTGCTGTCATCAGCCAATTGGTCAATTCCAAAAAACCCAAATGAAAAAATCATTCTAGGAGTATATAGAACAAAAGAATATTCTCTCCTTTTGCACCCAGTTTCGAATTTCAAATTTAAATTAGATTAATTCGTTCGAACAAAACATTATTAAAAAAAATAAACACATGCAAATGAACAAAAGTTGAAAAGTTGAAAAATCAAACCTTGATGAACTCATCGACAACGCCATGCACTCTCTCAACAACCAAACCCAAATTCCTAAACTCCTCCACCAAAACCTCCACACAATCAAAAGCTCTATCTTCCTCCTTCACATTACGCTTCGGAACCACCACCCCGATCTCGAAGGCAGTCTGTTCCTCCTCAACGGCGTTCATCTCCTGCACACCACCAAACAACTTCAGCACCCAGCAGCCGAAGGGGTCAAATTTCGAGATCCAAACGATGCCCAAATCAACAAAAGACGCGAACTTTGCAGAAACCGGCTCAAATGGCGAAGTGGGCCATTGCATTGGGGAACAATTCGAGCTTTCCGGAGCCAAGAGACGAAACTTTTCTGCCGAACCGGGTCGATAAGTTTTGCGCAAATGTCGGGGTGTGTGTGCTCAGATGAAACAAAATGATGGACAAATGTGTGTCGCAATGGATTGGAAATATTGCAATGTGGGTTTCTAGAGAGAGAAAGGGAGGAGAGAGAAGACTACAGGTGGCTGAGCAGTCGGGTATTCGGGGCGAGAAGTTGCGATGGTAAACCACATAGGATGGTGAGGGAGGAGGAGGACACGTGGATTCCGGGATTTGGCGGTTTCTTCAGTTTTTGCGCTTTCCGGATTGGAATTTGGAATGGAAATTGGGAAAGGGAGGAAAGGCAAACGGTACGACCCCCATGTAACCTCGGGTCGGGTCTTTCCGTTTTGACTTAACTATTTTAGAAGTATTTAATTGTCAAACAGTTCAAATTTCAAACTTAGAGTATGCACAGTACGTAACAGTCTGTTCCTACATTTAGGTTTAGTTTAGGGTTGATTTGGTATTACTGTGCTTTTTAAAAAAAATTGTTTTTGTTGTGTTATAACAATAAGCAGTTGTAAACTAAAGTTATTGAGTGTTTGGTAAATTTTTTTTTTTTTTTTGTAGAAGTTTTTTTAACAAAAAAAAATGTCTGAGTGTTTAATAAACTTTTAAATAAAGGAAAGTGTTATTAACACTCAAAAAATCTCATTTTACGCTCTTCACAAGTGTATTTTTCTTTTTAAATATAAAAAGTTTGTAGTGTAGAATGATATTTTTAAAGTGTCAATAACAATTCTCTAAATAAATTGGTATGAATATATTAAATGACTATTTAATGTAATATAATAATTGTCAAAAACAATAATGTAGGGGCAAAGATTGTAGTTTTGTAAAATATATGAGCCTATACTAGCCACTTGCAAAATTTCATTAAATAGGCACTAATTACTATGTTACGAAAAAAAAAATAGAAGCATGATAAACCCTGCTTTTACTTTTCTATATTTTTCTATTATTATTGACAACATTTTTTTTTTTTTGAAGGCAACGATATTAGTTCATAGATAGAAGGTTCAGTATAAAAGGAAAGCCAAAAGCCCTAAAAGTACCTAAGGCTACAGCCTAAAAAAGAAGCTAAAATTTAGACATTACAAACCATGAATAGTTGGTCAAGCTAGAAAGAGCATATCTAGCTATGCGGTGAGCAGCTTCGTTATTCTGGCGACGGGTATGGGCAGCCGTGGCTCCAGTGATTGTAGACAACAACGCCTTCGAATCTTCCACAATGTTACCCATCAAGGAACCATTAAGAAGACCGTTGCATAATGCCGGGACAATCTGGAGCGCATCACTCTCAATAATGATATCATGATAACCTTTATGAATCGCTAATAATAACCCCTCTTAAACCGTAAGGGCTTCGATATGGAAAGGCAATGAAACAAACTCAAACACCAATGCTTTGGCCGCCACAAAATGACCAAGATAGTTACAAACCACTAGTCCCACTGTACCAAGTGGGGGTATGGTCTAAGACAAAGAAATTCGAGATGCAGGGGTGGATCAGTTCCCTAAGGCAAGCTTCTAGAAATCCTGCCACCAACTAATTGCCCTAGCGACGATAATATTTAGTCTATCAATCCCATTCCACAACATATTATTTTGAACACCCCATATGGCCCACCAAACCATTAAACAAAGATCGAAGCTAAGATGATCAAGAGAAGAAGCTAACTTCAACCCCCAATCATAAATCGATAGGCTCTGTCCAAACAATGGGGGCCTGCCAAAAATGGTCGGCACCCAAGCGCATGATGTGAAATAGCAATCACGTAACAAGTGAATGGAGCATCATCAAAACACAACATGAATCCAAAAGGATATGTTTCCTGATCAAAGATACCTGTGTTGGAACAATATCCCTATAGAATTTTCAAGCACAGATCTTGACTTTGGGGGGAACACGAGCGGACCAGATTTTTTTCCAAAGTGGAGACGAAGTTCCTGATGAGGATGACACCTAAGAATTGCCTATCAAACCCCTTCACCCCACTTGATAGGCACTTTTCACCGAGTAGCATCCATTTTTATCAAAATGCCATATCAGTCTATCACTAATATCCCGAATGCTCAGGGGCATATCGATGATAGCATTAAATTTGACCTCTGAGAAAAGTGATTTGACAAGGGGGACATTCCATGACTGATTGTAGATAAGTTCCTCCACAAAAACCAGATTACACCACGGAGGATTGGGGGAAAGATTTTGAATCGAGACGGGTAGGGAATCCAAGGATCTTCTTAGATCCGAGTAGATAAGCCCGACCCAATTAACCACTGAGAACCCTATTTGATAACAGAGTGAGCATAACATATGCTCTGCCAACCAAACGATGCATTGCTACTAACCTTAGCCCAAAAAAAAAAAAGCCATTCGGGAAGTATTGCGTTTTTAAAGTACGGGCCACCAACGATTGGTGATCATGGGTCAATCTCCAGCCCTATTTAGCTAGCAAGCCAAGATTAAAAGCAAACATGTTTTGAAAACCTAACCCCCTTCCCATTCACACTTTGGAGTGCAAAGTTTGTCACCTGATAACCAATGAATATTTCTACAATCATCGAACCTATTCCACCAAAACGCAGCCACCATTCAGTTAAGGTCATCGTAAAAATATTTAAGGAGTAGGAAACAATGCATTGTGTAGAGTGGAATAGCCTGAGCCACCACCTTAATAAGTAACTCCCAGCTCGCTGCACTTAGAAGTCATTCTTTCTAGCCTTAGAGACATTTCCAAAGGTGTTCCTTGATGTGATTAAAATATGCCTTCTTATTGTGGCCAACAAAGGTAGGGAGACCTAAGTATTTCTCATGTCTATCCACCCTAGTTACTCCCAACAAATTGCTCAGGGAATCTTGCAGTGAACGGTTGACATTTCTGCTAAAGCACACGATACTTTTACCGATTGACCCAACGCTTGCTAATAGCAGCCCAATGCTTTGACAATCTAAGAGCAGTTAGAAGGGCCCGCCTTAGCAAAAAGGAGAATGTCATATGCAAACAGCAGGTGGTTAATAGTAGGGGCACCTCTACAAATAGAAATACCCTAACTTTTTCCATCTGTTCCACATTTTGACAGAAAAACGGACATTCCCTCGACACAAAGAAGAAATAGGTACAGGGAGAAGAGATCCCTCTGTCTATGTCCCCTTTCCGGGTGAATATAACCACACGGAGAGCCATTGATGAAAAAATGAGTATAAGACAGAGGAAATGCACTACATCACAAGGTTGAACCACCTCAACGGGAAGTCCATACATTCGATAACTCGACAGAGAAAATGCTAATCAACATGATCATATGCTTTACTTATGTCCAGTTTAATAGCCATAAAACCTTTTTTACCCCGCTTGCGTCGGAAAAGAAAATAGGCAACTTCAGAGACCAAGATAATATTATCAGATATCAACCGACTTGGGACAAAAACACTTTGATGGTCCGAAATAAGCCTGGGCAGAAAAAGCTTCAAATGATGATTCACCAAAACCTTGGATGCAATCTTGTAAATAACATAACATAGGCTAATAGGTCGAAGTTGGGACATCCAGCTTTTTAAAAAGACACTTTTGTTTTGTTTTACCAAACGCATTTGATGTTCCAGATTTTTTTTAATAAGTTGGTTTTTTTAAAAAGCACCACAATCCAAACTAGCCCGTAATATATGCTTACCTGTATAGCAGGTTCTTTAAGGAGAGGGATCCCCATTTAAAAATAAAAATGGGGATCACACAATAAACCGTTGATTAGTTTTAATGAAATTGTGTGGTCGAGATTAGAAGCTCATAAAATCTTTTTTTATCTTTATCTTTTTTGGTTTCTTCGTATTGTCTCATCTTTCTCGCGACACAACCGCACCAGGATCTCGTCAAAAACCTATTAGGTTCTGAATCGGGGTTTCCACATTGATTATTTTAGGTAATTAATTTGAATAGTGGGTTGGACAATTGGGGTTTATATTTTTGAAATTTTAAATGCAAAAACCTATTGGGTTTTGCTTTGGGGTGGTTATTGTTTTGAATGCGTTCAAAAATTTGGTAGTTTTCCTTCGGGTTTTAGGATTCTAATTCAAATTGGCTCAATGATTTGAATGTGCTATTATATAATGGTTGATTAATTTGACTTTTGTTCTTCTTTTCAAGTCTTTTAATGTTTTTTTATTATTCTTTTTCGTGTGGATGTTTGATTGTGCTAATGTTCATGTTCAATTTATGGAAGACAATGAGATGGCTATTCAAGTTACGGAAACTAATGAAATGCCTATTCAAGTTATAGAAGCTAATGAAATGCCTATTCAAGTTATGGAAGCTAATAAGATGCAAGTTCCCATGGAAAATCAATCAGAAGTAGCAGCTGGTATTTCTTTTTTCTATCCTCAAGTAATGGATGAGTTTAGGCCTACCATAGGTCAACATTTAGAAACATTAGACGAAGTGCTTGAATTTTACAACAATTATGCAAGGGAGGCTGGATTTAGTGTTCGAATGCATTCAAGTAAAAAATAAGGATGGTGAGATCACGAGAAAAGAGTTTGTGTGCAACAAAGAGGGAAGTAGTACAAAATAATGGGTTGGTTACAAACAAAAGCATCGTGGATTAACCAAAGAGGGTTGTAAAGCAAGATTCATAGTTATGAGATCAAAACTTGATGGGTATGTAGTCACCATATTTGACGAGGGTCATAATCATCCAATGGTATCCTCATGAAGACGCCACTTGTTAAAGTCTCATTGCTATGTTACGAAGTGTCATAAAATATTAGTTGATTAGCTAGACATGGAAAACAAACCTCCACTGTAATATCCCACATCGTCCAGGGGTGTGGATCCTGTAAGCCTTATATGTATATTCCCATCTCTACCTAGCACGAGGCCTTTTGGGAGCTCAGTAGTTTCGGGTTCCATCGGAACTCCGAAGTTAAGCGAGTTCGCACGAGAGCAATCCCATGATGGGTGCCCTATTGGGAAGTTCTCGTGTGAGTTCCCAGAAACAAAATCGTGAGGGCTTGGTCAGAGCCCAAAACGGACAATATCGTGCTATTGTGGAGTCAAGCCCGGGATGTGGTGGGGGCCTGGGCCGAGATGTGACATCCACACAAACAATTTGACATTCTTGAATTGTAGATAGGTGGAATTGAAAATATGGTTGCACACAAGAAGATCTATATAGTTATTGAATAGAAGTGTGGAATAAGATGAAAGGGCATGATGGAAAAATGTTGCATGATCATTTTTGGCTAGAGCAAGAAAGAAATTCTGAATTCACATTCAAGTTTCAAGTAGAGCACAAGATTACTCATTGTTTTTG